TGTATTATGGATGATATAGTATATAAATATGTTCAATGTCGTTCCGATATTTCTTCAAATCATCAAATCATCACCAACCCACTCTTGATGCATCGCAAATTTACAGGGCGAGCACAAGGAGGCAGACCCTGCGTGCTCGGTAATCTTCGACAAGCTCCGACTAAAACACACGACACATTTATATATTTACGCGATCTAACCTAACAAACCTCTATTATGGATACAACACACGAGTGGGAATCATTGGCAGTGTTGCCAAGTCGCCACGTCGTCTCTCACTGACGCCCGCATGGGTTTAAGATTAGCATTGTTGAGCATTGATGATGATGATGCTGCTGCTGCTGATGGCGCCTCCTCTTCTCCCTCCGTGAACACCCACGGTGACTGGGAAACCCGAGACGAGAGAGAGGCACAGAGAGAGAGAGATCGGCGCTGTCGAGAGAGCGGATTCGGTCTTTAATTTGAATTCAGTGCTGGAGAGCGGCTTAATGACGCGATTGCCACTGAGCGGGCCTCTCTGCTGGGATTGATTCTCAGCGGTAGAGACGCGAGGAGTGAAATTGAGTAGGTGGAGACTCTACAAGGATTCACACACAAACAAAGATCCCCCGCATAGCCTTTAACAGACTGTTGAGGCCAATGCTCTGAAGGCCGGCACGGCGCACGAAGGGGTTTGTGGCAAGCACCCCTGCGGTGTTGTTTACACATCGCAACAGGTACTCGGGAGGCCCAGGACCGGTTCGGATATTTGCCACTGTTTATTCGTCGTGAGTGTCGCGCAGCGCGCTAATCACTGCGCCACCACTCCCCTCCCACTAACTCATACATAACGCTTGTTGCCAGGCGAGGTGAAATTTGAGGGTATGCCGTGTGAAGTGTCGAAGGTTCGCTACTGGCAGGCCGCGGAATGGACACAGGTGGTATGGGTTAACTTAGATGACTGGCAGCTCAAAATCTGTGGGAGGGAACCGAAGTTTTCCTTCCACATGATCCTCTATTTTGCTAAGCGATTCATTCTAATCTAAAAAAAACCTGCCATCATAAAGACGCGGAGATCAAAGTAGAGACTGCGGCACAGGCGCGGTCCCTAGCAGAGCCACAGGTGTCCCATGAAGAGCCGTCACCCCAACGCGTATCCCTTTAAGAGCCGTCACACCAATACGTGTCCCTTTAAGAGCCGTTAACCCCAACGCGATTTCCATGAAGAGCCGTCACCCCAACGCGTGTCCCTTTAAGAACCGTCACTCCAACACGTGTCCCTTTAAGAGCCGTCACCCCAACACGTGTCCCATGAAGATCCGTCACCCCCAACACGTGTCCCTTTAAGAGCCGTCACACCAATACGTGTCTCTTTAAGAGCTTTCACCCCAACACGTGTCCCTTTAAGAGCCGTTACCCCAACGCGATTCCCATGAAGAGCCGTCACCCCAACACGTGTCCCTTTAAGATCCGTCACCCCAACACGTGTCTCTTTAAGAGCCGTCACCCCAACTCGTGCTCTTTTAAGAGCCGTCACCCCAACACGTGTCCTTTAAGAGCCGTCACCCCAACACGTGTCCTTTAAGAGCCGTCACCCCAACACGTGTCCCTTTAAGAGCCGTCACCCCAACACGTGTCCTTTAAGAGTCGTCACCCCAACACGTGTCCCTTTAAGAGCCGTCACCCCAACACGTGTCCTTTAAGAGCCGTCACCCCAACACGTGTCCTTTAAGAGCCGTCACCCCAACACGTGTCCCTTAAGAGCCGTCACCCCAACACGTGTCCTTTAAGAGTCGTCACCCCAACACGTGTCCCTTTAAGAGCCGTCACCCCAACACGTGTCCTTTAAGAGCCGTCACCCCAACACGTGTCCTTTAAGAGTCGTCACCCCAACACGTGTCCTTTAAGAGCCGTCACCCCAACACGTGTCCTTTAAGAGCCGTCACCCCAACAGGTGTCCTTTAAGAGCCGTCACGTCCATTTGTGCGACTGTTAGGGTTACCACCCCGCTACCTGCTCTTTTACGCGCCATCACCCCCATAAGTATGAGTGGAACCTACACGGAGTGCTCCTTTAAGATACCGTCACCTCTATACGTGCGACCTTGAGGGTCATCTCCGCAACACGTGTCCCTTTAAGAGCCGAAACCTCAACACGTGTCCCTTTAAGAGCCGAAACCTCAACACGTGTCCCTTTAAGAGCCAAAACTTCAACACGTGTCCTTTAAGAGCCGTCACCCCAACACGTGTCCCTTTAAGAGCCGTCACCCCAACACGTGTCCTTTAAGAGTCGTCACCCCAACACGTGTCCTTTAAGAGCCGTCACCCCAACACGTGTCCTTTAAGAGCCGTCACCCCAACACGTGTCCTTTAAGAGCCGAAACCTCAACACGTGTCCCTTTAAGAGCCGAAACCTCAACACGTGTCCCTTTAAGAGCCAAAACTTCAACACGTGCCCCTATAAAGGCCGTCACCGTGACCGTGCCGCGTGCTCACCTCTTTAAAAGTCGGCAACGACACGTGCGCTGCTTTCGGAGCCATCACTTCAGAACGCGTTCTTTTATGAGCCGTCACCTCCTCCTTGCGTGACCCTTTAAGAGCCGCCACGTCCGCAGGTGCTCCATTGGCACCCACCATCTCCGCACGTGACCCTTTAAGAGCCGCCACCTCCACGCGCGCTCCATTGGCACCCACCATCTCCGCACGTGACCCTTTAAGAGCCGCCACCTCCACGCGCGCTCCATTGGCACCCACCATCTCCGCACGTGACCCTTTAAGAGCCGTCACCGGCTCGCGCGCTCCTCTGAGAGCCGCCACATCCGCACGTGCCCCTTTAAGAGCCATCCCCTATTCAGAAGCAAATCGACCCGCCTTCCCCGCCCCCACCGCCTTCATTAAACAACCATCGGTGCATTAAACACACGGGCGAGACGTCTGTCTCCTAGTGTCCGATTCACAACACTGGACCGTCCCCCAACCCACGTTGGGACGGCGGGCTCATGGAGAGAGGAAGTTTGTGTGTGTGTGTTTTAAAGGAGCTGTGTACACCAACTGATCTAAGAGTGACAGGGCAGAGCGAGCTGTCAAAGTCATCCAATCACCGACGGTGGAACTCGCGGCTCCCCCAGTATGTGCGTGCGTGTGTGTGCGTCTGTGAATGTGTGCGTGTGTGTCTAGGGGGCGGTAGTGTAGCGGTTGGCGCGCTGCGCTACGAACCTGGCGAGCCGCGTTCAATTCCAGCACCAGTGAATATTATTTGAACCGGTCCTGGACCTCCCCTAGATCGACTCAGCCTCAAATGAGTATCTGGTGCGGTGTGTAAACATCGCCACTAGGGAGACAAAGGCGGCCGGGCTTGGTGTTGGCAACCCATCCCCTCGTGTGCCGTGCCGGCCTTCATAGGTGCACACTAATAGCACTTGCCCCAAAAGTCTGTTAGGACTATATGGGGGATCTTTGTGTATGTGTGTCTGTGAGGCTCCGTATGTGTGTCTGTCTAAATGATCGCTAACAGCACTTGCCCTGATAGTCCGTTAAGGATATACGGGGGGTCTTTGTCTGTTCATGAGTATTTCTGTTAAGTTTGTTGGCCTACTGCCGCACCTCAAATTAGCACAGTTGGCTATGTATGGTGCGAAATAAGTTCAACATTCTGTACATACATATGTGTACTCTTTGGTTCTTTCGGTTATTTTATTTTATACCTACGTGACTTTACCGAAAGAATCAAAGAGTATGGATTCCTGCAGTCACGAAAGCTTCAAATCAAGATACATATGTGTGTCTTAGTGCTCGCTAACAGCACTTGCCCTAAAAGTCGATTAAGGCTATTCGGGGGATCTTTGTCTGTTTTTGAGTCTATGTATATGTGTTTTAGTGTTCGCTAATGGCACTTGCCCTAAAAATCTCGCTTTAGGCTGTTCGGGGATCTTTGTCTTTGCCTGTTTGTGAGTCTATGTATGTGTGTCTGTCTAAGTGCTCGCTAACAACGCTTGCCCCAAAATTCCACCGAGGCTATTCGGGGCCTCTTTGTCGTTGCGCGGACACAAGGCGCGCGTTAAATGGCAAACGCATTAAGGGGCTCGCGGTGACGTCGTGTACGTGTCGGGGGGCAGGGGCTGTTTGTTCGCGCCCCCTTTGTTCGCTTGCTGCCGCCGTTTTAGAGGTCGTTCGCTAAACTCGGTGCAGGACCCCAAACAAAAAATAACCCCAGCACACACACAGACGCACAGACACAGCGCCCCGTCAAAGTCACCGACCCCACGCCACCGTTCAGCCCGCAGAGGAAGGCGGTTTCCCAAGAGCCCTTTGTGATTTGGCTTTCTTATTTGGGCAAGCAGCCCGCCCAAGTTTGTCAATCCACGCCGTGGTGACGCGGGGGTCGAGCGGGCTGCCCCCCGTGAGGAGGGCCTCTTCATTCACCCAGCAGCGAGTTGGCAAAGGGCCGAAAATGATGACTATTTATTATAAGCGTTGCTTCATTTTATATATATAGCGTCGTCGTTGGCGCTAATTTCATCTCATACTCGCTGAAATGCATCAGCCAAGCATTGAGCCGGCGCTACTAGCAATTGCCCAAGCGCTGCAGTCCCCTAAATGTTGAACTTCGTTCGCACCGTACGTGGCCTACCGTGCTAATCGGAAGGACAACAAACTAAAGACAAAAATAAGTTCTAAAGAAATTAGTTTTCAACCTAGGTGATTTAAAAGCGCATCTGAAAGCGCCGCGCGATGATGCGGTGACCACCGTGTCTGTTAGATGGGCAGCCAAAGGCCGCTGCAAGGATGAGAGAAGCTCGCGTGATGGTGTATGCTCCTTGACGAGATGAGCAAGGCGTTGTGGCTCGTTTGTGTTGTTGCTACTGTTGATGATGTTTGGGTTTTTGTTGCAGGTGTTTTGGCTGTTGGTGTCTTTGTTGTTGTGATGGTTGTTTTGGCGGCTGTTGTGTATGTTGTCGTGGTGGTTGTCCGTGTTTGTTGTTGTTGTTGTGGTGGTGGTGGTTGTTGCTCCACGTGTCGCACCTGGCGCGCCCAGCTGTGGCTCGTGGTGTCCGAGGACGTGCTGCAGTCCGAGTTCTTAAACGCGCCAATGGGGCCGGGTCTCTTACAGGGAACCTGGGGGCACATGGACACAGACTTGTATACAAACAAAGACAAAGACCCCCCGTATAGCCTTAGCGGACTGTTGGGGCAAGTGCTGTTAGCGAGCACCTATAAAGGCCGGAACGACACGGGAGGGGGTGGGAGGCCATCATCACGCCGCGCCGCCTTTGTCTCCCCAGCGACGATGTTTACACACCGCACCACGTTACTAATTTGAGGCCGAGACGACTTAGAGGAGGCCCAGGTTAGGTTCAGATAATCGTCACTGGTATTGGCCGTGAGCGAGAATCGAACTCGGGTCGCCAGGTTCGTAGGGCAGCGCGCGAATCGCTACACTACCGCTCCCCACCAAGATACAGACACGGAGTCAGACATAAAAAAAAATCAACACTACCAATCACCACCTTCGTCATCATCCACCAAACTCCCCGGCGTCACTACCACCACCACTGCAAGTCGTCCCGTCGAGGCATCTCTGCTCCATCGCTCAATGCTCTTGTGCCTAACACGTTTCCTCACAGAGGATATTATCGTTACTATTATTATCTTCCTAGAGGATGGTGATTTGGATTTGTAGAGAAAGCACAAGGAGCCACGGGGGGTGGCAATGTCCAAATTAGTGACTCACCCCTAGTCACGCGACTCTTTCTTTGGTCGGCCAGTGAGTGAGTCGTTCACTCATGCGTCTACTCACCTACTCAAATGCTATCACTCACGCATTTACTCACATTCAATGAGTCAGCAGTCACTAATTCAATCAGTTGGTCATTCGTCACATCACTCCCTCATTCATTCACTCACTCACCCATTCAATCATGAATAATTCGTGCACTCACTCATTCACTCACCGACTCATTTAATCACCCAGTCATTCATTCACTCACCCCATCACTCAGTCATTCAATCACTCATTCAGTCACTCACCCACTCATTTAATCACCCAGTCATTCATTCACTCATACCATCACTTAGTCATTCAATCGCTCATTCATTCATTCACTCACCCACTAATTTAATTACTCATTAATTCATTAAATCACTCACTCATCCACTCACTCATCGGATGAGGACAAAGATGATTACTACACACGAATTTACTAAATCTATTCAGGAGCATGTGCACACGTACACACACACACAAGGCGAGCGCCTGTTAAGGCCGGCACAGCGCACAATCAGCTTGTGTGGCCGGGAGCAAACCAAACCGCGTCTGTCTCCCCAGGTGTTTATACACAGCGTACCAGGCAGGCACTTTAAGCTAAATCTACCTAGGGGAGGCCCGGAATACGTATTCATGTCACTCGTCAATGACGTTCAGAGTTGTGGCCTCGGATCGCCGGGTTTATAGCACAATGTGCTCACCACTGCGCCACCGCTCCCTCCCCATAGGCTTGACTCTCGCACGCACACACACCATCGTCGAGTCAAACATACACGTGTGTGCGCACACAGCAGCACGCATATAACAACGCCGTGGATGAGTGGCTGGGGAACAGCTGGTAGCTGCTATGTGTTATATCAGAGCACTGAATCTGTCTGCAATTTTACGAACTTTATTGGGATGGAATTTGTGTGCAAAACGCATAACTGTAAGGTTTTAAAACACCGGATTTTAGTCGGGGGTTTTGTTATTGCGCAAGTTATTTAATTGATGTAAAAAAAATGTATCTCCCACTTTTGCCAGATCTATTATTGTGTCAGTATTCATTTACGGCTGTTTGCTTATCTTCTCTAATGATAATAATAAATATTTTATTCACACACTCACAACTTACGTGAGTTGGTTGCGTACATCACTTCAGAAATACAATTATTAAAAAAAAAACACGCATTTATATGGAGGAAAGGTGGTTAGGGCCACAACGCATTGCCAAAATATGGGAAAGAGAAGGTTGGCAGGGTCAGATGGTGCTGTTGTATACAATAAAATGCAACCATCACTGGGTGTAGCGTTTGGAACGGTGAACTATTTCAGCAGAGCCAATCCTAATGCCCGCTTGTTGACGCAGGAGCCGCATGGATATGTAGTGGCCACGTGGGCTAAGGTCCACTCGCATCATCACATCGACACACGCACACGCACGTATGTATTAATTCAATGATTTATTTTCCTCGTGTATCTATATGTTGCTCTGACTGAGTGAAAGTTACGTGTAAAAAATAAAAAAAAATCGCTCAAATTAAATGTAAGCAGGGAAAGCTTCAGCCAGTCTCAAGACTCGAGTTATCGGGAGGGTCCTGCTTGCTTGAAACTGGGATGTTTGGCCCGACTTCAATGAACGAGCGGGTTAGTCCTCTCGTGGGAAGGCAACTTTGATTTGTGTGTGTTTAGTTTGTTGTCCTTCCTCTCACCTGCGATTAGCACGGTTGGTTGGCTACGTACGGTGCGAAAGAAGTTCGACATACATACAATGACAGTGGAGAACGCAGGAGAAACCATAGCAAGCAATACGACACGTACAGCCCTTGGTCAATCAACCCGCGTGTCTAATTGATGTACTTATTTGGACAGCAGACCCCCATCTTTAGACGTGCACAAAAGACAGAGACCCCCCCCCCCCCCGTATAGCCTTAACAGACGTACCACGCGTAAACACCCAAAACACGTGTGTACCAGTGCTGTTAGCGAGCACCGCCTATGAAGGCCGGCACGGCACACGAGGGGGTGAGTGGCCAGCACCACGCCCGGCCGCCTTTGTCTCCCTAGTGGCAATAACTACACATAGCACCGGGTAGTGATTTGCGGCTGAGTCGACCTAGGAAAGGCCCAGGACTGGTTCGGACGATAATCATCAGTGGTATTGGCCATGAGCGGGAATTTAAGTCGAGTCGCTGGGTTCGGAGCGCAGTGCCGCTCCACCCTCTACTGAAGGGTGACACACAAACACAGACACACCACGTGGTGGCGGTGACGTCACCGCAGGCTCGCTGCACTTTGAGGCCACGTGGTGGTGGCACTGCAGATGACGCACGCACACGACCCAACACACACACACTGCACGACCATGCGACTCAGTTGACACTACATTCTACACAGACACACTAACACACTGCGTGACCATGCGACTCAGTTGACACTACATTCTACACAGACACACTAACACACTGCACGGACCATGCAACTCAGTTGACACTACATTCTACACAGACACACTAACACACTGCGTGACCATGCAACTCAGTTGACACTACATTCTACACAGACACACTAACACACTGCACGACCATGCAACTCAGTTGACACTACATTCTACACAGACACACTAACACACTGCGTGACCATGCGACTCAGTTGACACTACATTCTACACAGACACACTAACACACTGCACGACCATGCAACTCAGTTGACACTACATTCTACACAGACACACTAACACACTGCGTGACCATGCGACTCAGTTGACACTACATTCTACACAGACACACTAACACACTGCGTGACCATGCGACTCAGTTGACACTACATTCTACACAGACACACTAACACACTGCACGACCATGCAACTCAGTTGACACTACATTCTACACAGACACACTAACACACTGCGTGACCATGCGACTCAGTTGACACTACATTCTACACAGACACACTAACACACTGCACGGCCATGCAACTCAGTTGACACTACATTCTACACAGACACACTAACACACTGCACGGCCATGCAACTCAGTTGACACTACATTCTACACAGACACACTAACACACTGCACGGCCATGCAACTCAGTTGACACTACATTCTACACAGACACACTAACACACTGCACGGCCATGCAACTCAGTTGACACTACATTCTACACAGACACACTAACACACTGCACGACTATGCAACTCAGTTGACACTACATTCTACACAGACACACTAACACACTGCACGACCATGCGACTCAGTTGACACTACATTCTACACAGACACACTAACACACTGCACGGCCATGCAACTCCGTTGACACTACATTCTACACAGACACACTAACACACTGCGTGACCATGCAACTCAGTTGACACTACATTCTACACAGACACACTAACACACTGCACGACCATGCAACTCAGTTGACAGTACATTCTACAAAGATCCCCCATATAGCCTCCACAGACTGTAGGGGCAAGTGCTGTTAGCGAGCAGCACCTATGAAGGCCGGCATGGCACACGAGGGGGTGAGTGGCCAGCAACCACGCCCGGCCGCCTTTGTCTCCCTTGTTGCGATGCCGGTTATTAGACAATCGTCACCGGTGTTGGCCGCGAGCGGGAATCGTACGCGGGTCGCTGGGGTTCGAAACGCAGCGCGCTACCTGCTACACTACCTCTCCCCCCCAACACAGACACACAGTACATACACACAGTACACATACACAGTACATACACACAGTACACACACGCAGTACACACAGTACATACACACAGTACACACACGCAGTACACACAGTACACACAGTACACACACACAGTACATACATACTGTACACACACAGTACATACACACAGTACACACAGTATATACACAGTACACACACACACATTGCATACTCACACTACATACAAGCAGTACACACAACAACAACCGCCATTCGCCACTAAGTGGCGGTGACGTCACCACGACGCTTGTGCCAGGCCATGTGCACCTTGAGGCCACGTGAAGTGTCGAACGCCCGCTGGCAGGAGGTCACGGGGCAGACCCAGGTGCCACGGGTCGACTGACTGAGATGACTGAGATGACTGGCTGATGCACCACCTGTGCCCCCTCCTGTGCCAACTGCTGTGCTTTAGCCACCCGGCGCTCCGCTCGTTGTTGTGAGCGTCGCTCCTCCGCCCTCCGTTGTTGTTGGAGGGCGACTGCCTCCAACTGCCCAGTAGCGTCCTTCACGAGCCTCCTCCACAGAGGCCGATCTTGACACCGCTGGTACCAGTCATCGGCAAGTCCACTCAGCTCCACGTCCTCCTGTACCACATCACTCCATCTCTTCTCTAGCCCGTGCCGCGTCCGTTTAGCCCCCTCGATCCGGCCGAACAAAAGCTGTTTCGGCATGCGGTGGCTGGGCATGCGGGCTACATGACCCAGCCATCGCAGCCTTGCCCGCCGGAGGAGCTCACCGATGGGATCGTGCCCAGAGCGTTCAAGGATTTGTGAGCTCCTCACACAATCCAGCCTGGTTAAACCCAGGATGGATCGTAAGCAGGACAGCCTAAATGTTTCCAACCGGCGAAGATGCTCCATTAAGGGGGTCCACGTTTCGCAAGCGTAGAGAAGGGAGGGAATGACCGTGGCCGAGAAGACCTGAAACTTAGTGCGGAGCGACAGACCAGGTAGCTTCCACACAGCGTTACGCAACCGATGAAAAGATATTGCCGCTCGACTGATTCGGAGTGAGACCTCTGCTGTTAACTGGAGCCGGTCATAAGCACACTGCCCAGGTATGGGAAACTCTCCACTCTCTCCACAACTGCCCCATCACCGATTGGGAGTTGTGGGGATGGAGTGTCCGATGGTATAAAATACCCAGGCAGGTGCTTAGTTTTGGTGGGGCTGATGGTAAGGCCCCATCTCTTAGTGGCACACTCCAGTATCAGCAGCAGCGTCTCCAACTCCTCCTCTGAATGAGCAGCTATTACCAAATCATCGGCATACATAACGTGGTTGAGCAGTACACACAGTACATACATACACACAGTACATACACACAGTACATACACAGAGCACATACACACAGTACATACACACAGTACATACATACACACACAGTACATACACACAGTACACACAGTACATACAGTACACACAGTACATACACAGTACATACAGACAGTACACACATGCAGTACATACACACAGTACACACACACAGTACACACACAGTACATACATACACACAGTACATACAGAGTACATACAGACAGTACACACACGCAGTACATACACACAGTACACACACAGTACATACACACAGCACATGCACGCACTCTCACCTTCACGCTAGGCGCCTCCATGCCCGGCTGGGGCTGCTGTTGCTGCAGCATCAGCAGCCGCGTGTCGCTCTCTGCTGCTATGGGTGCTCCTCCTCCTCCTCCCCCACGCTGCACCATCGGGTCGCCGCTCCTCGGGCAGCCGAGGAGGAGGAGGAGAGGGGCGGAGAGCGAGGGGGAGCGTGCAGCCCCAACAGGGAGGGAGGACGAGGTGAGAGGGGAGATGATGAGTGACTCCGGGCCCCGCGGACGATGTCTCCGATAATTCACAAGGACAAATTAAAGCAACCGACGACAGCCTCTTCCTGCACCATCTACGACAGCCACTGCTGCTACTGCAGCATAACCAAGACGACCCCACCTCCCTCTGCTTGCCTTGCAATGACCGCTGCGTTGTTTTACGATGCGTGCTTCAGACTGCACGCGTTGGTTCTGGTAGCGCAAATGTGGACGAAGCGTCTTCATCTGCGACGATAACCGGCCTCGTACGCCGCTGGCTATGAGCCCGGAGGGATGACGATGATGATGCAGGGGCGTCTCTCACTCTCTCCCGGCGTTGCCTTTCTCTCTTCTCTTTATCTCTCGACCCTCTCTCTCTCTCTCCTCTCGCGCACACAAAGGCGCGTGCGCGCGTGTGTTTGTGTGCGCGCGTGCGTCACACGTGCACGCGCTCGATCGAGGTGTCGCGATGTGCACTGGGAGAGGTAACGCGCGGAAGAACATCGAGGGGGAGGGAGGGCTTTTAAATTTTGAATCTGCTTCGCGAGAAGAGGTCGTTGTGATCATCATCATCATCATGATCATTGTCGTTACAGGGTGTTCCTGCGCCCGTCACACTGATCGTGGCTAAACAAGGCCATAATCGTTTATGAAATATATATACGTATTTCAGACTGCACGTGGTTCTGGTGAACATCATAATCACCATCACCCACGGTGTGCCTTTCACATTGACCTTGAGTGTCATCTTCATATTTTGCATTCAATCTCCATCGTGGATATACATCATTATAATCACCATTCTGCCTTTGACATCAATTGTGGATAAATGATTACCATTCTGTCGCCTGAGGAAGCTAGTTGTAATTACTGGCGAAACGTCGTACTCAGATTGTAAATGTTGTGGCTTGGCTCTCCAACACACCGGTGTGCTGTACTAGTGACGAATTGGCACGTTCTGTTTACGTGACAACCCTTACTAGTTGGCTGTGTCGGGTGGTGGTGGGTTTTACGTGATCTCACCCAAAAAAAAACCTCTATTATGGATGATATTGGTCCTGAAAGCCTGCTACGTGTTAATTTGTCTCCTTCGTGGATCTGTTTGTCCACGTAAAAATACAGATTTCTTACACAACCTATCAGCCGCACGTCCTCCTGGGAGAGAATACTTTCAGCAGCATTGATTCAATACGAGCAAATCCCTGTACTGGTGTCATCACAGTGTCTCAATCGGAAGCAGAGTCAGGCAGTGCCTGAATCAATGGTGAACTGCCAGATGTTACTATTTCATTTATTCACCGGGTAAAGCCCACTGAGCTATATGGGTATTTTTCAGAAGCGACCTGGACACAAATGATAGCTCAACGAAGTAGCTTATCATGTGGAAATGTATAGCAGCCAAATCCTCTAATCGCATGTTTCTAAATCTGCAGGGAAATGCCGGAAGACCCGGACAAAAATTTCCGCGACCACGGGGAGAACAGGCAAACTCCACATATAAAGGCGTCAGGGTTGGGATCGAACTCACGACCTCCGGTATACCAGGCGAGGGAGTTAACATCTCACAACCGCGGCGCCCATGTTACAGTCTAGGCAAGGGCCGTCTCTTTAAGGCGTGGGTCCCAGTTCGTTACAAAACAGACGGGGCAGACCCTAAAGCGTAGAAAAACACAAGAAACATCGATACGCGGCGAGACTTTCCCCAGTAAACAAACTCATCAATTGACGATGTTCATGAGGTCTGCCTCATTTCCCCATCACCAGGAGCTGGAGAAGACACGGGTGGGTAGGGGGGGGGGCTCAGTCCGTGTGCCCCCTCCTGTACTCCGCAGCACAATACATAATTGCTTCTCCCCCCCACCTCCGATGAGTACGGTTGGCTACGTACGGTGCGAAAGAAGTTCAACATACGTACATGCAATACGCCCTCATCCCGACACCGAGCAGGCTCGCGCCCCCACGTTCAATGTCCTGTTCAGAATGTGGAAGAATGAAAGCGCTGGCTTGCATTGTCCGCCTCTGGTTGACGTTTAATCACCATCCCAATATGCAGAACGCAGAGGCACGGAGGAGTCGTTTGGAGGGCGCGAGCTTTAATTACGAAGCCGCAAATCACGGATTCTGTTCATTCGGTCTCGTGCGCGGGCGAGGGGGAGGATTAACTCTTACGCCCCTATTCCAAGCGCAATCATATATAGTACAACTTTCTTGGTTGGCTGTGTCGGGTAGAGGAGGGTATACGACACACATTTTACTTTATGCGATATAACCCAGAAATCAACTCCGAATCCCAAATATTAGCTTCACCACCACCCCCACTACCGCCGTTAATAAATGGTTAAGGGCGCATCCCTGCGATCGGCTGTTCACGCCACTGCTGGCGAAACAGCACATCCGATTCGCACGGCTGGCTACGTACGGTGCAAAAGAAGTTCAACATACATACAGGGCCATTCTGGAGGGTGTTTGGCCTACTCTTCAGCCTTGGCGTCATCTCTCTCGTCGAGACCACTACGCCGGTTACAAGTAAACATTGTTGTACTTCGCCCAGTTTTCACTCGGCTTTTGAGCAAAAATCGACACGAAACAATACGGGTTGCAATAAACTTGACAGATCTTTGGATGCATTTAGATTTTAATTGTAACAAAGCTTCACTTTCACCCATCGCAGACAATACGTGTGATTCATCATCGACAAGACTAGGGCTCCGATTGGGCCCGGCTCCAGCACCTCTTGAGTTGCGGGGGGCAGAAGGGTTGTTGTATGTGTGGAGGTCACCGTATGAGTGACTCACCACTGAGGAACTAACCATCGAACAAAGGCGGCCACTGCATCGCGCGCTTTCAGATGCGCTTCTGTGGCCGTCTGGAACGCTCTTCAGCCGCTGCAGTTATGCACTTTTAAACATAGGTTGAAAACTAATTTCTTTAGAACTGCATTGTTTAGTTGCTTTTCCTTCCCGCGCAACTCTGATCAACACGGTTGGCTACGTACGGTGCGAAATAAGTTCAACATACATACATATACAACATACAAGGAGAGTGAACTTGGGGGGGGGGGGCAAAGGGACCTTTGGCGGTGTAGGGCCCATCCCAATACCCGCTCCTCCTCGTCGGCACCCCCCTCCCCCTGACACCGGCCCCGATGGCGAACGACGAGGCTCAGAATGTATTGCTAGCTTGCAGATTGTGTCGTTGGAAGATTTCACATTGAATACATTTTGAGAATACTGGCTCGCTTTATTGCAGTAATACGTGGCACCAGTGATTCAATATGATCTCCTTCAGTATTGACGGTGCTGTACAATGATTGTGAAAATAAAACATGAAATTAAAAAAAAGTGCTTGCTTCATCACCCGAAATCATTGCAGGTCCATAAGTCATTATAAATTCTGGCGCAACGTATTTTTACGTAGCAGTCTGCTTAACCACGCAAACAGTTGACAAGTTTAAACTTTACGAGTGTTTATCAGCTGAGTGTTAAATTATTGTAGCTGGGTGGTCTGGTTTGACACAAGAAAAATCAATAAATACTGGGAAATCACGGTGATGCACCTCTGAACAATCATTTTGAATTGAGCCCCAGATTTCTCGTGACCTATTTATTTACGTCTGCGCTACCCGAAATGGTACCGCCGAGAATTCAATCCCAGCTGATATATCAAAAGCTTACATTTAAGGAGCCTTCACGCTCTGGTATACAACACTGTATTACGAAGAGAAAAAACACAGCCGATAACGTGGGAATGCAGCCCTGTGATTGAACACCCATGCATGTTTATTGCTTTCCAATTTGAACGCACCCCATTGTGCTCATCACAGAGCAACTATTTAACATTTTACTCGCAAATGGGTCAGAGCGGAAATTGGTACCACCACAATGTAGTAAAACATTACGACAGATTTATTTCCGTGGCAAAATACCAGGGATTTAATTTATTACCCCACTTATTTCACATGGTGACCACATAATTCAGTTATTGGCCGCATGAATAAATTGGAACCACGGACGTTACGCCACATGGGGTGGTACCGACAAATGGGATATCTGCTCTGAGCTCATGGACTATATGTAACAGATGTCAATGAACAGCATGCAAGTAATGATGATGCACCAACGCACCATCGATTCTTAAGCTATGCAACTAATACTTTTTATTTTACCAGGTAAGGCTCACTTAGCTGTATAGATATTTTTCAGAAGCGACCTGGCCACAAAATGATAGCTCAACGAAGTGGCTTATCACGTTGAATTTTAAAGCAGCCAAATACTCTAAATGCATGTTTCTAAATGTGGAGGGAAAAACCGGAGGACCCGGAAAAAATACACATGACCACGGGGAGAACATGCAAACTACAAATATACAGGCGTCAGGGTCGGGATCGGACCCACAACCTCCTGCATATGCTTAAAGCAACTTAAACCTACGGCTTCTTTGTTAATTCACTCTTGGATGAAGACCTCCCCCATATCGTGTCAGTCACGGGGGTTGCTGTTTGACCATACTTCACCATAGCGCAAGTGTGCTAACCACTGCCCCACCGCTGCACCCACACTTGATATGCACTGATTGAACTGCGTAAGTAATAATCAACGGCTTGTTGTTCGTACACGTGGTATTTAATTGGGTCGAGTAATACCTGCAGCCATGAGAGGTGCTCAGTTCACGATGACGGGAAGATAAATTGAACAATCGTATGGTGACAATTCATCAAATTGCGTGGTGGGAGGGGGTCAAGGGGGAATGATTATCTGCCAATATGGACAAAGACCACCTCTTCTGTTATCATCCCAAACATTCACCTTTTTTTCAGATACACAAAGTGGCCTTGGTTGGGGGTTTTGACACCAAAGCGAAATTTGAAGAGGTCTTTACAATCAGATTTGGGCGAAAAATGTGGTTCAGAGGCATACGATGAGGTTCATCAAGGTCCTGAGAAGCCTTCTTCTAGACATGATGGGGTCTAGAAGTCTTGACAATCGAGACAGTGAGAGGACAACATCAAGATACGAAGGGATCCTGAGAGGCCTTCGTCAAGACTTAACGATAACGTCCACAAAGGACCTCATTAAGACGTGGTGACTGCGTGTTGAGGTCTCCGTCTCGGCGTAGCAATGAAGGTCTTCATCGGGACGTGGTGATGAGACCCAGAGAGGCCTTCACCAGGTCATGGTTGGGTTAATCTTGTACTTGTTGTAGTCCGCCAGCAGAAAGAATGCCAGCACCGTCTCATGACCTGTCAATGCAAACCTTCCATTATGCAAATGCACATGAACTGTTGAACATATGTTTTAGTGGAAAGGCCATGGTCACTAATATCTGGCAGAAGAGCTGTTTCAGGCACAAACATGAATCTTGCTTCAAATACACATATATGTAAAATCAGGAAATGTATTACACGACTGTCACAATATGGATTTAAATAGAATTGTATCTCAAATTGTGTTTGACCAGGGCTCCATTTATTAAGGTTCCAAATTTAATTAATCCTCCCAGCAGATGTATTGAAGTGGCGAGCTCATGTGCAGGGAGGCCTGAGTGAATGCACTTGGAAGCTCCTGAACAATTAATGAAACAGTTCTGGGGAACGCGAGGGCTGTGATTGTTATGGTGGTGACGATGATAACGGACCAATGTGGTCAAGGCTCTGGTAACGATTACAGTAATGACAGTGGTGATGATGGCAGTGCTGAAAATTATGATAGTGAGATACCCATAGTTATGATTTTGGTGGTGGTGATTATGGTTATGATTATGGAAAATCATGGTGGTGACGATAACAGCAATGACTACGGTGACAATCTTGATTATGATGGTAGTGGCAGTGGTTATAAATTGTAGCTGGTATTGATAATGATCATGGTGATGATGTTGACGGTGATCATGATAACGACAGTCACAATGATGACAATGATGATGGCGCCAACGCAATGCGAGCGATGATGATCTCAGCGGTGTTCCCTGTGGGTGTGCAGCCAGTGTATGTGCATGTATGTCGAACTTCTTTCTGTACGTACGTAGCCAATCGTGCTTATCTGAGGTGCGGGGTAAGGATAACAAACTAAACACACAAATCTAAAGAAGTGTTTTTTTTTTTATCTAGATGATTTAAAAGTTCATAGCTCTAGTGGCTTCCTTATATCAGAAGAGCGTTCCAGACGGCCGCAGAAGCGCATTTGAAAGCACGCGACGCGATGACCGTTTTTGTCCGATGGCCAACCATAAGCCGCTGCTGCTGCTGCTGCGAGGATTGTAGCGCGGGTGATGGTTTATGCTCCTTGACGAAATCAGCAAGGTATTGTGGTTCATTTGTGACACTTTGTGTGTGTGGTGAGTACAAGCGGTGGGCATCGTACGGACGCCGGAGTCGTGCAGCGTCTGCTCATCGTGCAGCAGCAGGTGCTCGTCGTCCTCCAGGCTCACCACCAGCTCATTCGTCTGCCACCGCAGACGAGAGCAACGGTGACAGTGAAAGAAGTAAACGACAGGACGGGCAGCAGTCGCGAGCTACGTTTGTTTTGTATGAATTGCAAGACCATGCAGCGGTTACGATCCGTGGCATGTATGGCCTGCGCAGCAAAGACTATGCGCCTTACCTTTGCGCCGTGCGCCTGATGAATAATCTTGAGAGTATCTGCCGAATCACAGTGAAAATTAAGGATTGTTAAAGTGACGCATGTTTTCACATCGAGCACGTACATGTTAAAATTGTACGGATTATTTTGCGCATGTCGCAGGAATAACACATTACCGTAAGTGTGTTTCTTAAATGGAGGAGGCAGCTGTGCTCTTGTCGGAATTTCTGCATCAGATAATTAAAAAATTCTGGTATAAGTGCATATATAAGGAACCAACTGGCCTCAAAGTCTTTATATGCCCAATATTCATACTCTTTGGTTTTTTCGGTAAAATTTTACCTACGTGACTTTACCGAGAATACCAAAGAGTATGAATCCTTGCAGTCACAAAAGCTTCAAATCTAGAATTAATGCCCAATATTCCCTTGTACAGATGTAACGATTCACTCGCTGGGCCATTTGAGAGACTTGAGTAAAGGGGGCGAAAACCACGGGGGCGGAGGACGAGGGAGCCGCACCCCGTAGAAGCAAGCTCATGAAGTCCCGCACGCTCTGCGAGACCGCGACGTCGTGGAAGACGAGCTCGCGGAAGTTACGGTGCTCGAAGGAGCGCACGAGGCGCACGCACACCGTCACCGTCTCCAGCCCCGGACGCTCCGGGGCCCGACACGCAGCCTCACTCATACACGGAGCTGTAAACAAAGACACAGATCCCACGTACTGCGTTAACAGACTGTTGGGGCAAGTGTTAGCGAGCACCTATGAAGGTTGGCACAACACCACGCCCGGCCCGTCTTTTGTCTCCAGAGTGGAGAATTTTATACATCACACCCGGTACATATTTGAGGCTGATCCGACCTAGGGTAGGACCAGGGCCGATTCAGATAATCGTCACTGGTGTTGGCCGTCAAGGCGGGTAGAGTATAGCGTTGTAACATTGGATTGTGTTGCACTGCCCTCTGCTGCCCACAACGTATATTAATTAACCCAGTATCTCTCGCAGCAGTATTTCTCAACTGGTTCTTGTGTACCCCAAAACGGTCAGCCTTTTCGAGATCGCCAGTCTTTTACATATTCTTATGCAAATTACTTTACTGCACAATGCATGTACCTGAAGGTAGGCGAGCACAGACAGCTGTGCCCATGGGATTTTAACGAGGACTGGCACTGAGGAACAGCTCTCAATCTTGTAGCTTCCCAAAGATACTTTATATATTGTCAGGCGTCCCATCACAGAACTCCCCGTGACACCACCGTTATGATTCCATCGCGGCAAGGCGATGCCTTGGTGATGTTTCTCAAGTGCCGTAATGATGTACTTTATCGTTACTTTAAAGTATGGTTTTTTTTCCCCTCCAAGACAAGTATCTTGTAGGATTCTTAAATGATAGCTGGTAAACCGGTAATCAATTCTGATGATTGGCACATGCTAAGGCACACACGGCGCAGTGGTCTAAGTAACCACGCGTTACATTTGTCCTTGTTTCTCAATTAAAAGATAGAGATGCAACAACCCTGCAATGGAAAAAAAAAGCCTGGACACGAACGCAGTGTTTTCTCAAACTTGTTTTGGCCCGCGCACCACCCAGCCCCCCCTGGTGACAAACCGCATTCACTTCTCTTTCAATACCAGGAGTACAAAATTATTAACATTACCGGAACATTTTTTTAATGCAGCGATAAGGTTTTTTTTTTTTACGGGGGGGGGGGGGGGTGGGGCATTGCGATCTTCGGCTTCCGGTAGTTTAACCAGTTTAGTTTGCCTCACTTGATTAAATATAACAAAAATGTAAATACATTTCATGAAAAGGTATGAACATTGTTGTCATTTCCGGATCAACCTGGATTTGAATCACAGCCCCGCGGCCCACGTGAAGGGCCGTCACGGATCACCTGGTGGGACGGGACCCGCAGCACCTTGAGAACCACCGCATCAACGCCCTGAGTATCTAGGCGTATGCAGCACTGTACTGCAGCTACCAGTACTTTGGTCGGCACATTCCTTTCATACCAAGTCACATCAATCGTCACGTGACGTTGCGTGACTGTCTCTTTTTGTCAACGAAGCAGTTTCAAACTCAACCCTGGTAAAGTATTTACAAAACAAAAACGGTTTGTAGGTTAGGTCAATAATTACTCAAATTAGAGCACAATTATACTTATTACCTCTATTCTCGAATCACTACAATTGGGGATCTGTATAATCGGTGATATTCCCAAACTAAAATTGCATTCTCTGTTCAGATACCCATCTCCACTGGTGGTCCTGAGCCAGTGGCTTAAATTCCACATTTCTATGACGAGAACCGAGAGCCCTGACCTATTGATCTTAGGCCTTGACCAGGTCAACAAAGCAGAGATGTAAGTCCTGCCCTAGTTATCATAGGCCTTGACCAGGTCAACAAAGCAGAGATGCAAGTCCTACCCTAGATATCATAGGCCTTGACCAGGTCAACAAAGCAGAGATGTAAGTCCTGCCCTAGTTATCAAAGGCGTTGACCAGGTCAACAAAGCAGAGATGTAAGTCCTGCTCTAGTTATCAAAGGCCTTGACCAGGCCAACAAAGCAGAGATGCAAGTCCTGCTCCAAGTGATCATAGGCCTTGACCAGGTCAACAAAGCAGAGATGTAAGTCCTGCCCTAGTGATCAAAGGCCTTGACCAGGTCAACAAAGCAGAGATGTAAGTCCTGCCCTAGTGATCATAGGCCTTGACCAGGTCAACAAAGCAGAGATGTAAGTCCTGCCCTAGTTATCATAGGCGTTGACCAGGTCAACAAAGCAGAGATGTAAGTCCTGCCCTAGTTATCATAGGCGTTGACCAGGTCAACAAAGCAGAGATGTAAGTCCTGCCCTAGTTATCATAGGCCTTGACCAGGTCAACAAAGCAGAGATGTAAGTCCTGCTCCAAGTGATCATAGGCGTTGACCAGGTCAACAAAGCAGAGATGTAAGTCCTACCCAAGATATCATAGGCCTTGACCAGGTCAACAAAGCAGAGATGCAAGTCCTGCTCCAAGTGATCATAGGCGTTGACCAGGTCAACAAAGCAGAGATGTAAGTCCTGCCCTAGTTATCAAAGGCGTTGACCAGGTCAACAAAGCAGAGATGCAAGTCCTGCTCCAAGTGATCATAGGCCTTGACCAAGTCAACAAAGCAGAGATGTAAGTCTTGCCCTAGTTATCAAAGGCGTTGACCAGGTCAATAAAGCAGAGATGTAAGTCCTGCTCTAGTTATCAAAGGCCTTGACCAGGCCAACAAAGCAGAGATGCAAGTCCTGCTCCAAGTGATCATAGGCCTTGACCAGGTCAACAAAGCAGAGATGTAAGTCCTGCCCTAGTGATCAAAGGCCTTGACCAGGTCAACAAAGCAGAGATGTAAGTCCTGCCCTAGTGATCATAGGCCTTGACCAGGTCAACAAAGCAGAGATGTAAGTCCTGCCCTAGTTATCATAGGCGTTGACCAGGTCAACAAAGCAGAGATGTAAGTCCTGCCCTAGTTATCATAGACCTTGACCAGGTCAACAAAGCAGAGATGTAAGTCCTGCTCCAAGTGATCATAGGCGTTGACCAGGTCAACAAAGCAGAGATGTAAGTCCTACCCAAAATATCATAGGCCTTGACCAGGTCAACAAAGCAGAGATGCAAGTCCTGCTCCAAGTGATCATAGGCGTTGACCAGGTCAACAAAGCAGAGATGTAAGTCCTGCCCTAGTTATCAAAGGCGTTGACCAGGTCAACAAAGCAGAGATGCAAGTCCTGCTCCAAGTGATCATAGGCCTTGACCAGGTCAACAAAGAAGAGATGTAAGTCCTGCCCTAGTTATCAAAGGCGTTGACCAGGTCAACAAAGCAGAGATGCAAGTCCTGCTCCAAGTGATCTTAGGCCGTGACCAGGTCAACAAGGCAGAGATGTAAGTCCTGCCCTAGTTATCATAGGCCTTGACCAGGTCAACAAAGCAGAGATATAAGTCCTGCCCTAGTTATCATAGGCCTTGACCAGGTCAACAAAGCAGAGATGTAAGTCCTGCTCCAAGTGATCATAGGCGTTGACCAGGTCAACAAAGCAGAGATGTAAGTCCTACCCTAGATATCATAGGCCTTGACCAGGTCAACAAAGCAGAGATGCAAGTCCTGCTCCAAGTGATCATAGGCGTTGACCAGGTCAACAAAGCAGAGATGTAAGTCCTGCCCTAGTTATCAAAGGCGTTGACCAGGTCAACAAAGCAGAGATGCAAGTCCTGCCCTAGTTATCAAAGGCCTTGACCAGGTCAACAAAGCAGAGATGTAAGTCCTGCCCTAGTTATCATAGGCGTTGACCAGGTCAACAAAACAGAGATGTAAGTCCTGCCCTAGTGATTATAGGCCTTGACCAGGTCAACAAAGCAGAGATGTAAGTCCAGCCCTAGTTATCAAAGGCGTTGACCAGGTCAACAAAGCAGAGATGTAAGTCCTGCCCTAGTTATCATAGGCCTTGACCAGGTCAACAAAGCAGAGATGTAAGTCCTGCTCCAAGTGATCATAGGCGTTGACCAGGTCAACAAAGCAGAGATGTAAGTCCTACCCTAGATATCATAGGCCTTGACCAGGTCAACAAAGCAGAGATGCAAGTCCTGCTCCAAGTGATCATAGGCGTTGACCAGGTCAACAAAGCAGAGATGTAAGTCCTGCCCTAGTTATCAAAGGCGTTGACCAGGTCAACAAAGCAGAGATGTAGGCGCTGTTGACATTCCCTGCACCTCTGCCGTAGCGAACGGACAGAGATCTCCGTGGAGGACCGTCCCGGTCTGAACCCAGCATCGTGGTCATCCGAGCCCCGTGACTCGACAGCCGTGCATGGACAAAGCGCTGCACGCGATGTCATAACAACGTTAGTCCGGCACACGCGTGGTCACATCGCAGGCGGCGGCTCCACTCACGGCGGGGACGTCGCAGGCGAGAGACTCTCACGCCGACCTTTGACCCCGACCCAGCGTCTACCACGTGCCGCCTGCGTCCCGGGACACGTGACTTCGGCACACCGCCGCGGCTGCTCGTTGGGCCGTGGGTGGGGGGGGGATCGCAAAGACCTTGGCGCTGATAGGTGGGTCGCATGTAACCACGTGGTCTTGCAATCGGTGTGGGGAGTCTTTAAGACAATGGGGTGAAGGGGGCGGGGAGTGGGCGGGCTGGGACTGGGGGGCTGGGAGAGGGGGGGCGGGGAGTGGGGGGGGTGGGAGTGGGGGGGCGGGGAGAGGGGGGGCGGGGAGAGGGGGTCTGTTAGTGGGGGGTGGGGCGTGGAGGGCTGGGAGTGGGGGGCCGGGGAGAGGGGGGCGGGGAGTGGGTCGTGGTGGGAGAGGGGGCGGGAGTGGGGGGCTGGGAGAGGGGGCGGGGAGTGGGGGGCTGGGAGTTGGGGGTGGGTCGTGGGGGGGTGGGAGAGGGGGCGGGGAGTGGGGGGCTGGGAGTGGGGGGGTGGGTCGTGGGGGGCTGGGAGAGGGGGGCGAGAAGTGGGGGGGTGCTGAGAGTGGGTCTCCAATCAGGTGTTTACTCTGGACGCCCGCGTTGCTCCACTCTGTTCGCACAACAGCGGCTTTCTTCTGGGTCTGGGTGGGCTTCTCGGATCGTCACAGCGCAATCCCAGAAGGGCAATCGCGACTTTAAAACTGTTGAACTATTTTCCTTATTTTAGCAGGTAAGGCTCACTTGAGCTATACGGCTTTTTATTCTTTCAGAAACGACCTGGCAATCGAAGTAGCTCATCACGTGGAAATGTGTTGCAGCCAAGTACAAATATACAGCAGCAGCAGGCGTCAGGGTCGGGATCGAACCCACTACCTTAGGGGCCGTCCATAAATGACGTCACGCACCTGGGGGGGGGAGGGGTTAGACATTTGTGACGATGTGTGACGATGGGGGGGGGGGGTGAGAAATGTGACGTCACATCAAAATGCACCAACTTTAAATAAATATAGACAACACGTTCTACTTGATTAAATATACTTTTTAATACATGTTTTCTCCTACAACATCAGAGTGCAGCGCCACATTAAATACGCACTACGATGACAATAGTTTAAAGCGATTTGAAGCATGTTTTTATTTGAGGGGGGGGGGGTCTGACTTTTTGTGATGCCGTGTGACGAAGGGGGGGAGTCCAAAATCGCGTGACGTCATTTATGGACGGCCCCTTATGCTCAACTAGTTTAAATACATAGTCTTGGTTCTTTCGGTAAAGTCACGCAAAAGGGAAATAATAAAACAACACAATAAAATCCTCACGACGTTTCGATTGTAACAAGAATATGAATCCCTGCAGTCACGAAAACTTTAAAAACGAAATTGAGTTTTAATACGTCTCGAATGCCTATTCTCATGCGTACTACGGAATATAAAACACTGCCTATCGGTGTTATAAAATCCAAATCAAGCTCGTCATGTGGGTCACGTGGAGGAGGAGGAGGACCACGGCGAAGCGGAGCGCGGGATTCCTCCAGGTATCGCGTCCGGACGTTCTCGATCACACCCGGTTCGGTCGAGGTCCCCTTGGGGTCTCCGATGGGGTCTCCCTTGGGGTCCCCTTGAAGTCCCTGAGGCCGGGAACGGACGCGGGGCGCAAAGGTTCCCTTGCTGTGCCGCGGGCCGAGGCACCCTGCCGACCCCGCTGCGGGCACGTCGCTTCGTGTTCGACAGTAATTAATCTGGTCGTTAATTAACCTGACGCCGTCTTAAATGACGCGCCGCGCTCCCCGGTGATTGTTTTGTACGTGTCCAGACATTTATCAGCAATCCACTGCTGGATGAGTGCCTCTCCCACTCCGTGCAAGTGGTGGAAGGGTGGTCAGATGTTTGGCGAAGACGGCGAGCATCGGCCATTTGTTAAATAATATATAGTTGGTTCATAATCGTTGTTTGTGTTTGAGACGCCTCATTGTTGGTGGATAATCTGAGCTTAGACGCGGGAAGTTGGTGGTTGAGGAAGAGGCCTGGTCGGATCCCGGGCATCCTGCTGTTGCCTGGTCGCTTCTACCGGGGAAGGCACGTGAAACCCGGTAGGAAGCATAGGGACCAGTGGGGGTCGGGCCACGTTACGAGCGGAGAGTGTTGAGACTCAAGTCTGGGTTCGCAGTCCTATAAAGCCAAAACATATTTGTTTTTTCTGCAGGTTTTAAGTAAAGTTACTTGTCGAAATGTTATATTACAAGGAATATTTGTTGTATTTCGCAAATCGGGCTCGGCGGTAGACCAATAAGGTTGCGAGCTAAAATATTGGTAGGGGGTTGACTTTGCCCATCATCCCTTCCCCGGGGTCGATAAAAAGTACCACTCAGCGGGGAAGTCGACAGTGAGGGTTGTCCTTGGAGACTCGCCCTGCGATAGGAGTGGATTTATGCACATCTGACTTAGTGAGGTGAGTATCGCGTCAGTGGTTTTAATTAGGACACCATTTCAACTTTACATCGCAGGATGGGTAGACCTATCGGTCGTGGTTTGACCAACTCACGAGAGTTGGTGGATCAAGCATACATATCACCGTATGCTAGACTCCCAAACCCGCTTGGCTGTGATGTAGCCAGGAGATGACAATACAGTACAAAAATTATGTTTGTGAGTGAACCCGTAATTCCCTCAATCATGGTGGGGTGTCCCAGGCTGCTCCGTTTTATTCCCCTTGTACAACGCTTATTGATAATAAATTGGTCAAACATCCTAGGACCTACCCTAAAAAACTCTGGAGACTTCCATGAGGCTGTGCAGGATAAATATATGACATTATTACAAAGTACAACAATTTGGATCTGTAAAGTAACTAGCACAGAAAGTATATTATCAGAAACGAGTGTTGAGTTGAATTCTATAGGACATGGAAAGAAAGGACACATTGGTATAAAAAAGTGAGAATGTAATATTTGTCGATTTGAGGTTTTCCTTGTCAATAATGCAGATAGCAGACAAAGGAAAATTATTGATATAAGTTATCAGCAGAAATTATCCACGTTTGTTATTCGTGAGAAATTGACCATGATGTGATGGTGCCAGTCTGCAGAAAGTGACAATTTTTTTAAGACTGGACGAAGATTTTTTGCTTGAAATTCAAATAGTTGTAAAAGTGTATTTCACCTGAAATAGTGATGATTTCATTGACTTCAACATGAGACTTGATATGAAGTTTCTTTGAATTTAACTTAAGGTTTGAGGTGAATCTTGGGCTTGAATACCAAAAGCTGCCAAATAGTTTATTATAGGGTGAAGGAGACAATGCTTTTGCACTATTCTGCAAGTTGGTGAATGCTCACATTTGTGCCATTGTGCCGTGTGGTTGCTTTGTGCGGGACAGAGGCGGACGGAAGGGAGAGTTCCTGTTGTGTGATGAGCGCTGTAAAGCGTTGGCGCTGACAAAACGCGCTTACCCTGCGCATTGCCCGCGCTTGCGACTCACAGCTGCGCGACCACCTCCCTCCTCCACCATCACATATCTCCACCACCCTCCACCACCACCTCCATCTTCCTCCACTACCACCTCCCTTTACCACCACTTCCCTCCTCCTCCACCACCACTACCACCTACAACCACCACCCTCCACAACCACCTCCCATCAACACCAACTCGATCATCACCAACACCACAATCGCCACAAACACCATCGCCACATCACAATCACCACCAAGGTTTAGATTACCATCACCATAAACGCCCATCAGCAACACAATCGTCACCACCACGCTCACCACCACGTCCTCGAGCTCCGCGCGCCCCTCCCAGCAGCAGCGCGGCGGCGGCGCGGTAAAGCGCGGCGGCGCAGCGAGGCGAGCGCTCTCCCGCTAACATGTCCGAAAATGACAGCAATCTGAACGGCGTGAGCGATGGCACGGGCGAGTTCACCGAGGGGGGCATGTGCCGGGACTTCCTGCGCAACGTGTGCAAGCGGGGCAAGCACTGCCGCTACCACCACCCTGAGTTCAGCGAGGTCATCAACATGGGCGTGCGCCGCAACGAGCTGAGCTTCTGCCACGACTTCCAGAACGGCAGCTGCACACGGCCCAACTGCAAGTTCGTGCATTCGCCCAAGCAGGACGAGGAGTTCTACCGGCGGCACGGGGAGCTGCCGGCGCACCTCAAGCAGACGGTGGCCGCCGGCCTTGGCCTCTCGCTGCGGGACCTGCAACTGCGGCAGGGCGAGGTGCCCGTGTGCCACGACAACCTCAACAACGGCTGCCTCAGAGGCAAGCGCTGCAAGTTCCGGCACGTGACGCGCGAGGAGTTCACGCTGGAAATGGGGTTGTGTGGCCACGCCGGCGCACCGGACGCCACCGCTGTGACCATCCTGCCGCCCCCCCCAGCGATGCCCGCCACCATGATGCCACGCTACCGCTTCGATGGGTTCGGCGAGGCCTTCGAGGAGGAGCGCTTCGTTGAGTTTGAGTTGGCACGCGCCAAGCGCCGCCGCCTGGAGGAGCCGTGGGCCGAGCGCTTCGAGCACCCGCTGCCCACACTGCGCCTCGCCGACACACAGCTGCTGCTGCTGCAGGAGGAGAACATAATGCTGCGGCGGCGCATGGAGGAGCTGCGCAAGCAGGCGGTCGACCTGACGGCCGTCAACGAGGCACTGCTGGAGCAAAACGCGCGGCTGCGCGTGCAGGCTGGCAAGGTCGTGACGCTCACCTCGGCCGAACAGACGCTGGTGCCGCGCGCCCCCACCGTTGTGGTGGCCGCCGCTGCCATGCCCAGCTACAGCCATGCGCTGGGCCAGCCGCTCACCACGCTGAGTGGGCAGACGCTGCAGGGCCGGCCCGTGTCGCAGCAGGAGCTGGTGGCGCCGAGCGGGGCGCCCACCGCGCAGGCCTCTAACCCGGGGGCGCCACCACCTCAGCCCGTGGCACCGCCACATCTGAACCCTGAGGCATTGGCGCCCCTGCCAGCCACGCTGGGGTTGGCGCCCGCCGTGTCACTCGCCACGGTGGCCGTGTCGGTGGCGCCGGTTGTGTCCATGGCGCAGTCGCTGTCGGGGATCACCATGAGCCACGCCACCACGCCCATCATGACGTTCCCCATCGCAACTCAGAGCATACACATGACGTCCCTGCCACACTAGCCCCACCGCCGCCACCACCACCACCACAACGCTGGCAGCGAATCCCTGATGCGTGCAGAACTCAACCTTTGTCGGATCCTCTTTGTTTTTTTAAGGAGAAATGTGTCTGAAAGTGAAAAATCTCTCCAACTCAAACTGGTATTGGGCAGTGCTCACCTCAGTTGGCTGTAAAGTGTGGATATTCCACATTCTTTAGGGCTAAACCAACTGGTCCCAACATCTTGCAACAACGTTTTTATTTATCTAACCTTCGTGGGGATGACAGGCTGAATCAATTTCCGATCAGGATTACAATTTTCCACTTGGCAATTATGAGTTGATTTTTACACTCGGCCAATTGAGTATCGGTAATATCGAGTAAAAATAAATAAATCACGATTGGAATTTTGATGATGGCAAGGACACACGGTGGCCTGCTGAAGTCAGATGATCGTTTAATTGATGGTTTTCATATATGGATATCATCCTTGGAATTGAAGCGGCACTCCTAAGTAATGTGACATGGCGGTGTGTACACGACTGGACCGCCTAGCCCTGTGAGCAGGGGAAATAATGTCGTGAGGGCGCACTTGATAATGTGTCTCTGCTTTAGGTCTGTTCCAAAGAGATGGTTCCACGCTTGTTTTATTACGAGTTGTAGTTTTCAGAAATATTGCATGAAGAGATCAATTGATCAGGCTTTTGTGTAATACGAACATGTACATCGCTATTCGTAAAGGTTTTCGTTTTAGGTCGCCTAATTATAAATGTGTCGAAACCCTCCACCACCCGACACAGCCAATTAGTAAGGGAATTGTCACATAACACGCCAAATAGTTACTACTTCAGCCCACGGGTGTGTTGGAGAGTAAATCCACAACATTTATAATTTGAGTACGACGTTTCGCTGGTACTTACAACCAGCATCATCGGGCGATTTTCCAGAATAGTGACGCAATCCACCTGCTCATTCATAAGAAATGCAGAGCATCTTGTGAATGTGATTTAAGAAATTAAACTTAACCCTAATGATATTCTGCTGAATTTTTATGTAATTTATCTATTCACTAAGGTTCCAGTTAACGTGTCCCTTAAATTACTTGATAAGCTAGTAAATAAGACAGGTTTACCAAAAGATATTCCAAAACTAGCTGACCATTGTCTAAATAACATTTCTTATGGAGAGGTGATTTCTTGAAACAAAAAAAGGAACAGCACTGGGCTCTCCTTTATCTCCTGCTACTGCGAATCTGTACATAGAACACTTGGAAGCAAGAGCACTTGCTTCAAGTACATTAAAACCATCTTTTTGGTTTAGATATGTTGATGACACTTTAATTGTCTGGCCACATTGTAAAGATACACTTCATGAATTTCTAAATAACCTAAATGCACAAAAGCCAGCTATCCAGTTCACCATGGAAATGGAGGTGAATAACACTCCCTTTCCTAGATATTTTTTGCTCGGACACAGCATTTACCGAAAGGGAACGCACACTGATGTCTATCTGAATGCAGATTCGCATCATCACCCCGCGCAGAAATCCTCTCTCATCAAGACGGTCATACATCGGGCTAAAACAGTGTCAGATGGTGAAAGTCTGAGGAGAGAGATTATACATGTGCGGTGGGTTCACTGAGAGACACTAACTCAGGAGGCAACACGTTTATTCTATGGACCACAACGGGATAACGACATAAACTGGGTCGGGACAGTCGGCACACTGCCTGACCCACTATGCCGAGCACGAAGACCCAGGGGAAGACGTAGCACGGAGGACTCCCATTCCAGCAGACAGCCTCGACCCAGCCTCGGGACCTCCCTTTCATGCCCTCCCTTTCATGCCCTCCAGTGTGGCCTGGCTCCGCCCTCGGCCATGCCCCTTCTGGAACCTACCAGAAGGCTCTGGGCCATACCCCATGTGTCCATTCTGTCACCTTTGGCCAAATTCTTACCCTGGCCTATCATGTGCCCTTGCCAGCCAACTGGGCTGCTACGTCCTCAGATGCCCCCTCTGTGCCTGCCACCAGAACGATGCCCCCTAGGGACCCGTTCCATGACATTGCACGCCCTACTGGCATAGAGGGCTACTTCACTCCCAGTTTCCCTCTATCACGAACTGGCGCGAGGTGCCGTAGTGACCCATTCTATGTCACTATACATGTTAAAAAAGCACTACGATTGAATGGCTACAATAATGCTGAATTCTAGATTTGAAGTTAAAAGAGCATTGAATGCCAAACCAAGATCGAACAGGAATACGGCTGAAAGCCATCAGATTATTAAAACAAAATATATGACTGGAGTAACTGACAAATTATCTCGAGTTTTGCAAAAGCAAAACATCAAAGTAAGATTCGGCACGTTACGCAATTCAAAAACTAGTATCTCGTACTAAAGATGAATTGCCTAAGTTATCAACAGAAGGTGTGTATCGCATTAATTATGTGGCAGATACTATATTGGACAGACGGGACGTGACATTAGCGTAAGATTAAAAGAACACCAAATAAATATTAAATACTCTCAAACACAACTGTTGGCAGTTGCACAATATACTTGCCAACAAGGACACTCAATTGATTTTGATAACGTTGAAGTGTTGTTTAAAACGAATTCTGACCGGCCAAGACTAATTCGAGAATTCATTGAAATTGACAGAAATTCAAATAATTCTAACCGCTCTGACGGCTACAGGCTTAGTGCGGCCTGGAAGCGTATTAAGTAATACATTACAATTATAATTCCTTATAGAGGAAACACATACTAATTAAGTAACGAATCTATTATAATTACAATAGCCCCCCCTCCGCCTCTGATCTCTGCACCTGATTGGGTTCGGTGATGATGTGCTGCTGCTCTATTTAAGACCAGAAGCAGGTGGATTGCCTCACTATTCTGGCAAATTGCCCGATGATGCTGGGTGTAATTACCAGCGAAACGTCATACTCAAATTGTAAGTGGTGTGGATTTACTCTCCAACACACCGGTGGGCTGAAGTAGTAACTATTTGTTTTGTTTACGTGACAAATCACTTAATAATTGGCTGTGTCGGGTGGTGGAGGGTTTCGACACATACGCGATCTAACCCAAAAAGCTTTATGAATAATATTGGTAAGGAAAGCCTACGTGTAAAAATGTCAGTCCCTAGATCATTTTTTGTTACACGGCATTTTGCTCCACGCATTATTTTCATTCCAATGAAACTGCACATTTTTAAATTGTGTTCTTTAGGAAATCCCAGTTTGTATACAAATATTGGCAGACTTATTTGTGGTGATCTCAATTCCTCACGGGCAGCCCTTGTGGTATGAACAGTGTTTTCATTTGCATCTGTAATGGAAAATTAATATGGCCCTGACATATATCCTAATGTTTGAACATTGTACTGTTTTTTTAACTGTTTTAAGTTAATGTGGACAGTGGCAATTTGGTAAATTGAATAAAATTGGAGCAACGTTTAATGCGTGTTGTTTGTTGTCCTTCCCCTGCATCTCCGATTAGCACGGTTGGCTACGTGTGAAAGCTCTACAAACGTACATTACACATCAGCTTACATCACATGGCGCAAAATTTGTATCCGGGGTTTTCACTTCGCATACCTCCGATGGATCTTCACATGGGAGGTTACCTCTTTTGCTTTACTGCAGTCTGGCACAGCCTCCCCTAACAGTCCACACTAATGTCTCACGAGTCATTGATAAAATAGATTCTTACAGCTCAAGATAATATGCATCAATCTGCATGAAAGAATCAACGTGACATTTGGATCAAGACCTCACAGTGCCATAATCCCTTGACTCGCGACTTCGAATTGCGAGCGTTGGAATCTTATTTTAATCTTTGAAACAGTAAACCCTCTACATTTAATGACATGGGCCAAAGATGACAATTTTGGCATGAACATTGGTTGACTTCTACAAGAACGGGCTTTTTAACATCGCCCACATTCCAATTAGTATGAGTCTTAAGATTAAGCTGTCGTCAAGGGAATACATAGAATCGAGAAATTATCATTGCTGAGAAAACTACATTCGCCTTCAAATAATGTAGCACAAACAGCAGAGAAGGGATAGCGGAGTTGGGGTTTGAAGATAATAGGGGGCAGCGCAATGAGACCAAACACCCCCCCCTGTTCAAAGGCAGAAGACAAGGCACCACGCGACATCCCATTGGGAGGTTTATTTCATGGAAGACGTCAAAAATCTGCGAAGCTACTGCGTCCGGCAGCCTCTACGGCGAGACAACTGTGGCTCCTTTATGGGCTGGGAAGACGTGTCTACTTCTAATCTAGAGACACAGCGCTGGATGCGTCAGGGCCAGACGGCGGCGGCGGCGAGAGCGGTGGACGAGTTTGCTCTCGAGTCTAAACACAAGAGGACGCGGCAAGCGGACGGGCCTCGGCTTATCGGCAGCCCGCGCCGCTGCCGGCGTTTACAGCCACGTCGCCGGGAAGGCAATGGAATTGCGCGAGCTGAACAACGGCCTACAACACGCGAACAACACCCACGAATAAAACGGCCCGACGGACTTGAGAAGTGTTCAAGTAACAATTTTGTTGGAAGTTGGACGGCTCGACCGCGTGCAGCAACGCGGCCGGATGCGCGCTTGCTGCAGGCTACCGATTTGAAAATCATTGTTACGATGCTATTGCGTTTGAAACCGTTCAGCGGGTACACGTAAAAGCTTCCATATTCACGCAATATGCAGCTGAAGGATAAAAAAAAAAAGATCAGCTGCCAGAAGAGTAGAAAGTCCTCGGACACAGCTGCATATGTAAGCAAATGGTTACGCTTAAAATGCATTTTTACTTTCTCTAGTCACCGTTGTTATTACTGAGTGATGGCATCGTGCGGTTCGCGCAGTGTAAAGCAGCAGGGCTTCAAAACAAGCCTCGTTAAATCCGTGCGACTTGGAATCGAACTCTTGAAACAAATCTAGAAAGCTGCCCCTAATGTGCGTCTTAAAATGCCAACTTTTTTGCTGGTTGGAAAAAATGTAACGTCACCCACGAGACGAAAGTGAAGAGTGACGTCCAGAAGCTTCCCAAATTTCGCGAGGGAGCGGAAGCCACACACAATTATCCGTAATTATTGCTTATTGGATTTTTGTCCATTTGCACGTGGATGACCTATAAAACAGCAAACACAGCGATAACACTGACAGCAGCCACAGGTGGCACGCTGGGGAAACGGCAGACGCCGGGTGCGTAGACAACGATCCGTACGAAGCGTTTGAGCCACCTTGCTCTGGTACTTGAATTAACTACTACTACGACTATTATTATTTTACCAGGAAAAGCCCACCGAGCAATATAGCTCTTTTTTCAGAAGCGACCTGGCCACAAATCATATCTCAACATAGCGGCTTGTCACAATGCTGATGACCGATGTTCACCCAGGAAAGCTTGAGAGAAATCTCAAGACTCGATTGTACGAGGGTCCTGCTTCCATTGGGATGTTTTATCAATTAAACCCGTGTTTGGCATGTCGGAAGGAGGAACCCCACACATGAGGGGAGGGGGGATAACACTCAAACGAGCTCTGCATATACAGATTCAATAATCCACTGTTGTAATACTTTCTCCTGGACACGTCACAGCCCAAGCCTACAACACCTGGTATTCCCCAATCTCCGATCCATGTAGTAATCAGGCACAACCCTGCTTATCTTCGTCGAGTTGACAAGTGCAGGCACAAACCATAACTCCTCACCCAACTGGGTTTACACAGAGCAATCATGGCCACCGACTAGCAGACGAACGCCTTTATTGCAGGCTAAGCTATGAAATCCCCTCGTGTCCGCAAGGACAGCTGCCACTCGGTGTGCCCCTTCAAATGTTCAACACGAGATGGTGTTGCAACGCGCTTATCGTGTGTTCAGCGCTCTGAGACGCCCTGGTGTATAGGAGGGCGCTCTATCAAAAACAAATCGTTTTCATTGCTCAGTTGCAGCAGATGTGTAGACATGAAAGATAACGCTGTGCTCTTCTTGCACATTCCATTGCATCGCGGGTGACGAGCAGTAC